AAGATTTCGTAAACATTTCAAGGAACACATCTGTTTTGACAATGTTTATTGCATTGACAAAGAAACAATAAGCTTTTGGGTACTGGGAAAGAAAACCAACGCTATTTTTAGGCAAACAGTACTTGAAAGTGGAGGTACACACGGAGATCCCTTTAATGCACTTTTGGATGATTCTTTAAATAAATTGGGGCTGGCAGAGATGTTAGATGCGAGAATCGGTCACTTGATGTTTTAAGGGATAAGTCAACTTCCAGTACTCAGGAAGATGATAAAAATCGATTCCATCGCACGAGAATATCGACTGGTTACAACCATTGAATGATATAGTTTTTGGTCCCATTGAAGACTTACTTGATGGCGATGAACTGGTTGTAGTCCCTGATGGTGCTTTGTGTTTAGCTCCTTGACAGCCCTAAGTGAAACTTTAAGGATCCGTATTATTCCCTCACTGACAAGTTTGAAAGTAATAAGAGATTCTTCAAGTGAATACCACAGTAAAACTGGCGCCCTGCTTGTTGGAGATCCATGTTTGAGGAAAGTTACAAATAAAAGGGATAAACCCATTTATGATCAACTGAGTTCGCAAAAAAAAGTGGAGATGATTGGAAAACTTCTTAACAGCCAACCACTCACAGGAGAAGCTGCAACCAAAGAAGAGGTGCTTCGGAGAATAGATTCAGTCGCTTTGATTCACATTGCAGCACACGGAGGAAAGGAAGCTGGTGAAATTGCTTTGGCTCCCAATCCCGCGTGGCAATCCAAGACTCGTATCCCAACGGAAGAGGACTACATGTTGAAAATGTCTGATTTACAAGCCATTAAGCTGAGAGCGAGGCTAGTGGTTCTTAGTTGCTGCCATAGTGGTCAAGGAGAGGTCTCGTCTGAGGGTGTGGTCGGTATGGCAAGGGCTTTCTTGTTTGCTGGTGCTCGTTCTGTGCTGGCGTCACTCTGGGCAATTGATGATGAAGCCACAATGGTGTTTATGGAATGTTTCTACCAACACCTGAGAGTTGGAGAAAGTGCCAGTACTGCTCTGCAGAAGGCCATGAAACGCCTTCGAGATTCGGACGACTTTTCCGCCCCAAAGTACTGGGCTCCATTTGTGCTGATTGGCGATGACGTCACGATTGAATTTGATGTAAACCGTTGAGAAAGCTGTAAGTACAGACTTTTCTTTTGTTTTAGATTACTTAGGGTCCTAATATATTAAATAAGGTTTAAGGTTTTATTGTCCTCAAATTAAAATGTAACGGAATTGACAAAATTAAATACAAATAAGCAGTAAAAGCAAGACAGTGTGAATAATATTGACAAAAAAAAATAATATGGATGGTTCGTTGGTGTACAATTATTCTGGATTTACGTAATCAGATTTCTTTTTCTGTAATACAAAATTGTTTAAAAACGTTTGTTGAACACTATAGAAACCTTTCAATAATCATATAATTAAGTGCAAAATCAGCATTCACTGTAAATGGCTGTTGCCGTGACATACTGGCTGTGGATTATGCGTTGAGAATTTTTAGTTTTTGCCTCAACATTTTAGTTTGAACTACCATTAAGTCATCATTTTACCCGATTCAAAAGAGAAATGTTATATTTGTCCAAAAAGAGTTAAAACCGTTATTTTATGATTTGTTATGAGCAGAAAAGCAGGTTAAATAGGCAGAAAATAGACCAAAAATGTTTCTAAAAACCCATTTTTGTGTATACACCATATAGCTAGATAATACAAGTAGCTCTAACATACTCTCTTGTTGTTAAGTAATGAAACGTTTTGAGCTCCTGCCCAACTTCGATTTTACATTCGTCTCATCCTTGCTATCCTGTAATCTAAGGCTTTTTATCTTAAAACCTCTATAGAACGAGTAGTATTGAGGCCGTTATTTCGCTGTTCAAGGGTATTAATTAGTCAATTGTTACTTTATTTAGAGGGGCCGTGCTGATTGCAGGGAGATATCAAAGAAAGAGTACTGCTGAATCAAAGGAACATTATAATATCAAAGTCTATTTTACCTGAGGAAAAAAGGTTTCGTGTAACCGTAGAAAGTAAATATTATACTATTTTACTCCCTAAAACTATTGCAGCGAAGCAGCATTAGCTGATAGAGAAATTTAGCTTTCTTTGATGATGTTGAAATACGTTTCTCAAATGGTACTTTCACTTACGCGAGTGTTCCTTCGGTTAATCATTGGCTTAGAACAAATCTATAGAGCATGAAAATATCTACAGTTTTGGGCTGTTGATTTTGTTATATATTCTTATACTTTACATATTGTTAAAAGTATTTTGCGCCAAATTTAGTTTTTTTCAGCGTTAACTATTGGGAATTTACCCTGAAAGTGTTAAAATCAGTTTCCTAAATGATTTTTTATGCCTTAACTTGTTGTGGTTAGTGTAACATTTTGTTTGCGTAACAACTAAGGAAATTGGTAAATTGACGGAAAATTTATTTCGTACAGGCAAATAAATATGCGTTTTTGTCAAAGGATAATACATTCACGAACTTCAAAGGCTAAATTTTGGCCTAGTGGATTACGTTGGATGGAAGGCCAGAACGCGTTATAAACGGAAGCGTCTCCAAACTAAAGCGCATAAACAGATTAGTCAGGGGCACCTAACGACCGTTTTGTAGGAAATGTCTGTTCAAAGCTCTCTAGTGTACCTAAAATTTTTATAGCGATGCGAATTATTCATTTATATTGCTTTTAAAAACCCCAGGAACCCTTTATAGAGGCATTTCAGGGCTGATTTTCGTGATAAAGCTGTCGTTGGGTACGCCTGATTAGTAAGTTAGTAAATACCACTTTAGTTAAAACTGTAACTTACTGTAACATAACTATTCGAACTTTTATTTTATTTTATTTTATTTTATTATTTTGACACACAATGAATTACAAGTTAATAAAAACGATAGGGTCCTGCATTACTTGGGAGGGTAAAACAGGAACTGAGATTTCCCCACGGGCACTTTTTTATTTAATTATATAAGTGTGTTTAGAGGGATATGAGGTGTTATGGGATTTACATTCTGTCACTGGGAAAATGGGATTTACATGGGAGAACAGTTTTGAAAATGGCATTGTGGTTTCTCTTCTTTAGAGGACTTGGACTCCATTATTTGACACAATTTTGCTCAAATAAGCCTACTTTTGGAAATTGAGAAATCCAGTCATGCATCAGTAAACCAAAGTATAGCAATGCATGAATGAACTGCTGTCAGCTTTCCTGTTCAATGGTTTGTTGTCGCTGAGATGACATGCCCATTTGGGAAATATCAAAATGGCGTCTGATTTAAAAAATGTTTCCCGCACTTTGCACAATTATGGTCATCGAGATGTTTGAGTTCAGCAAACAATGCGGTAACCCGCACAGAAGATTGCAAACTATAATCTTTAACTGATTTCGACTGAACTGTGACAACTACTGACGCGGCGAAGCAGAGTAAGTGCGTGAGTCGGATGAAGATGCTGAAAGTGAGATTTAGAGAAGTATTTTTTTATGGTTATGCCAACAAGAGTTGGAAGAGAGAGATCATTCACTTGTCCAGTAGAATGAGAGATTTTTTCTTTCCAGATGAACTGATGTACCTGTATCCAGACGGTGTCAATCAGTGCAGCTTTTCATTTATTATGTGCATGCCATCAGTTTCCGGCAAACAACCACTGGGAATGGGATTTGGACCAAACTTAGGATGGGGACTGGGATTTGGTATACCCCCCTTCAGGACCGTCTTATAATATTGTTGTTATCTTATATAAGTACCCGAACTGTGGTTCAGATAGTTCAATTGCTTAGTAACAGTGATACGCTTTTTTAATGTTTTATTCAGTGGAGAACTTAATTTTTTGTAAAAGTAAGGCTGTACATTGATCAAACAGATCAGTTCCAGAGCACTTGTTCAGCATCGTTCTGTGGTTAGGCGCTAAGAAGTTTTGTGTACCTCAATCTTTTAAGCTAAGATTATTCTAGCGGGAATCTAACAAATTTTTAGCTACCTGAAGGTAGAGTGTTTTCCAGGCCAATGACGTATAGCATGGCCATGATTATTTTAAGAAGTTCTCCGCACTCATTTACCTTATTACGTCGACTCGATTACATCAACTGCTGGTAGCTAATCTGGGCGCGTTGCGTGGTACAGTGTTCTGTTTTTGATGTAACTTTCAGCCTTGTTATGTTGTATTAAATATAAAGAAAACGAGACTGAAGTTCTACTGTGATTGTTGATGTCCAGGATGTAAAAAACCTTGATGAAAAACCTCTTCCCCTTGAACACTGACCTCCGAGGTCAATATTTGATTAGAAAACCACAAGCCACTTCTTCCTGTCCCTTCGCTGAGGCTTTTTAAATCATTTTCGATGCTGCAAGTTTATTTTTTAATTGGTCATCACCCCCCCCCATCCCCCCCATCCTCGACCTAGGTTACAACTGTTTTTTATCTGATCGGGTAAATAACAGAATGCTCCAATCTGATTAATTTTTATCAGCCTTCATTTTTTGCTTATAAAGCACCAAAACTGTATGATTTGACCAGTCCGATTACAGAAATAAGATGTTTTGGTTCCAAGAGGCAGAGTAACGCCCGGCTCTCTTTTTCGTCAATTAGATGAGCGCAGTGACTGTTACCGATTTGTACGCCATATATCCCCCCATACCTTGTTTGAGTCACTTTCAGCTTGAAAAAGGTACTATTGGGCCATTTCGTGTCTCAACGCTGTGTGACTGTGTTTTAGTGTTGGATGTTTCATCAGTTGACTGCCTGATACACACAGCATATATCTAGTACTCCAATACTAGGCCTATGTCACGGCTTTTTTACGAACCAGTTTATTTTTAGACACATTTTAGGGCACTTTTTCCCGCGAAAAGAGAATCTCTACCATGACTATGAGCGCATTCGAAGTATAAGATATCAAAAAGAAAAACTAAACGTCATTAAAAGACAAAAAATATCATTTTTAGGTCTGTAGGTTTTGCTGACTGGTTTGTGAAATTTAAAAGATAGTCAAAATTCGCGCTAAAAACCGTTCTAAAAATAAACTGGTCCGTGAAAACGCCGTGGCACGAGCGAATGGAAGTTGCTTGCTCCGGGTTATGGGCTCATCAACCTCTGAATTATTGTGTCTCAGAGCTTTACAGTAGTTTCGATCAATAGTAGACGCACGTGGCCTACATGTACTGTATATCAATTGCTCCGACAAAGCTAAAAGAGAATATAAGAAACGAATGAACCACTTTAAAACAATTCCAAAACCAAAAAAATTTCAGAAGAATAAAAACAAAAACAAAAGAAACGAAATAACTAAGACTTAGGAACTCAAAGGTAAAGAACATAATGCTTCTGTTTGCTTTTTTTGTTTACTTTTACGCGTGGAGTGATGAAGCCTTGAGACCAGATAAGAGAAGCGCGACCTTATCATGAGCGTGATAGTAGCTCAAAGTCTGACTTCAATACGCAGGCAAATCAACGTAAACGTAAGGCTGAACTAAACGCTCAATGAACCCTCGGGCGTACATGCAAAAAGTCATACCCCCACTGTGGTTCAAGGGGTAGGGGAGGCGGGGGGGGGGTTGGGGTGATGGAACCTCTTCCCTGAGCTGTAATATAGAGTGGCAAATCCTTGATAAATAAGATAAAGAAAAGAGGACCCAAAATAGATCTTTGTGGTACTCCATGGTTTACACACGCCAAAGACGATTCCTTGCCATCAATGCAGACCAGCTGGCGTCTACAGAGAGATGAGACTGACACCAATTATATGCTCTGTTGGTAAAGACATAAGCCTCTAATTTCAGCAATAATAAATTGTGGTCGACCATGTCGAACGCTTTACAGTAGTCAACAAGTAGTGCTCCACTGACTCTGTTGTTGTCCAAATTTAGTAATAGCTCATCAACTTTCATTTTTAAACAGCGCAGTCTCAGAACCATGGTGCTTACGAAAACTAGACTGTCTAAATAAATCAAGCAACCTCCCATTATTTCTAGGGAAAAGCGCTGGGGACGAGGTAGTAAATCAAGTCGTTCACTCAAAAAAAAGTCATACAAAGAATCGTCGACGTAACGTTCAATAATTTTTAATAGATATGACTGTAAGGTGGGTTGCTTGCATCTCCTTTTTTGAACAGAGGGGTAATTTTAGCGGGTT